GGGAAAAAAGATGAACTGGAAGGCAGGGAGAAGTTGCTGGCTCTTTAATTTGTTTTTACAGTGATAAATGTCAGTGCTATTTGGAGTTATGTTCTGTAGATGGAAGGATCTCCCTGATCCTGCATTCTGTCTCCCAATTGCAAGTGGGGATGAATTGTAGGCTTAGAGTGAGGTCTCTTCCAGACAAACACAATGCAGCAGACTCCATGGTATACAGTAAGTGTAATGGGGACGGTAACATAAGTAGGTCACAAACGTTCAAGACTTTTACTGGGCCTTGAATGTGAAGGTATCAGAATGACACCAGAAACTTTGGGAGAGCATTTGGAAACTGACAAATTGAAGGATTATTTTATTTGTTTATTTTAAAAGATGACTTGTGGCTTGTATAATATCATAGGCAGTGAGTGATGCAGTGAGCCTCTCTCTAGATTGGAGATTGGAAAGCTCAGATAGAAAACATCTGGAAGATGCCTTATTAGGGAATCTTGCCAATTCAGAGGGGGCTGCTTTTGATAGCCATAAGATTCCTCCCAGTGCAAATCTATGTACAGTTTAGAGAAGTTCCACTGCGTTCAATAAGGTTTACTCCACTGTGTGTTACCTCCTTTCATGGAAGATAAAGGTAGCAATGGCTACTAGTCCTAATGACTATGTGTTACCTCAAGTATTAGAGATGGTATAGTGTGTTTTAGTGGGTAAGATTGGGGGACTGGGACTCAGGCAATCTGGGTTCTAATCCCATTCAACCATGAAGCTCACTGGGTGACTTTGGGCCAGTCACAGTCACTCAGCCCAGACTACTTCACAGGGTGGTTGTTGTGAGGCCAAAATTGCAAGGAAGAGGAGAATTATGTAAGCTGCCTTGAGTTCCTTGGAGGGAAAGGGGGGATATAAATATAATAGATACATAAATAATAGCTAAATATAGTAGATAAATAGCTTGACAGTCATCTGAGAGGGAGGGTTTTTTGGAGTCCTGCACTGAACAAAAGGGTTAGACCCAATGGCCTCCTTGGGCCCTTCCAGCTCAACTAGTCTATGATTCTATGAAACAAATATATGCCTTTCAATAGCAGTTGCTGGGCAACTTGAGCAATGTGCTGTTGCACTCATGTTTTGCTTGTAATCTTCCTATGCGCATCTGCTTGGCCACTCTGAGAACAGAATGCTGGGCTACACAGGCCTTTAATCCAGTGAAACTCTTCTTATGTTCTTTTGTCTGTTCATATATTTTTTCCTAGTTCATGCTTGTCTTGCAAACTCATCTCTTTCCCCATCTTTTATTGGCTGGAGCAGCAAATATTTATTTATTTATTTATTTCCATTTATATATTGCCTACTACCCAAAGGTCTCAAGGAAGCTTACAATAAAAGTATAAATACATATTACAATAAATTAACAATAAAATACTTTATATTCAAAATTTAAAACCTTATAATAATAACTACATAACAAACAGTGGAAGGGAGGGCAGGATCTGTTATTTTAAAAGGTATTAAAAAGGAACATTTTTGCTTGGTGCCAAAACAATAATAGAGACAGTGCCAAGCAGATCTCCCTAGGGAGACTATTCCAGAAGCAGGGAGCAGCTACCAAGAAGACCTTTCTATTTGCCATCAGCACTTGACTCTAAGATATGTATTATTCAAAATTAAGCAGCTGAGGATTGGAGAATCTGAACATCTTATTTGATTGATCCTGGTTTGTTTTCATTTTTCATAGCCTGAAATTTGGTAGCAATGAGAAGCTAGGGGTACTTCAAAAGCAGAAGGTATCAATCTCCATAAGCATGCAAAAGAGAAGAGAGTGCACAAGCCTGATACTCATGCAGGGTTAATCTCATAACAGGAAATTATTAGGGCTGAATTTAAGGGAAGGCAATAATCTGTAGCATTTGGGTTTAGGAAGTGACTGCATATCTATTCAACAACATCTCCAATACATAGTGCAAAATATTCACTAGCAAAACTGACAAAGCTGATTCGCATAGCTAGCATTATATTAACATTTGTGAGGAAATTTACAAAGTAAATATCCATTTAATAAACGGTATTCACTTGATTGCTTGTGATTGTATGAATGCAAACAAATATATAATCATATCTGACTATGATAAATTATGCATGCAGTTTGCATCAATTCAGTACATGAAAATGAAAAATAAGGTGTTCAAAAGTTTGAAAAAAGGAAAATGAATGGCAAAGATGCTTCTCGGTTGTGCTTCCATTTGGTTCTGCAAACCATGATCTGTTATGTCTGGACTGGTTCTCGAATTCTATTATATTAGCAATTACATGTTTTTAAGTCTTTTTATCAAATCAATGATGGAAACAAAGTTACACGATTCTAGAATGTGTAGAACTAATGTGATGTGCTGGTTAGAGTGCCGAATTGGGAACATGGGAGATCCAGGTTCTAGTCCTCATTCAGAAGTTCACTGGGTGACAATCGCAGACTATCAGGCCAACTTATGTCACACTGTTCTTATGTTGAGGATAAAAATGGACTATATAAACTGCTTTGGATTCATTGCAAGAGGGGAAAAGGCAGGATATACATGCAGTGTATTAATATTAATAATAGGGAGCCAATAGGATGAGAGTCAGTGTAGTATAGTGGTTAAAAGTGTGGAACTGGGACTCAGACTAGCTGGGTTCATGGACCCACCTGGATGACTTTGGACCTTTCAGACTCTCAGCCCAACCTATATCATAGGGTTGTTGTGTCAAGGAGAGCAAGAGGAGAATTATGTAAGCCAGTTTGAGGTTTCTATAAGAAAAAAGCAAGATATGAATCTAATAAATTAATAAAATATTCATATTTTAAGTAAAGTATTTCATGGAATGAACTTGTGAAACAATGTCTTTTAAATAAAATATAAGAGAGAATCATGCATGCCTCGGTAGAGAAACTTTTTCATCTTCAGTTCCACAAAGCAAAGAATTTTATAGTGTATCACAATTTCCAGGAGAGTGGGGGAAGAGTTGTGACATCATCATAGTCCAACAGTCTAATACAGGGATTCCCAGCCTGGGGTTCCAGATGGCACTTCAGGGGGTACAGCAAAGATGAAGGCTGTGTCACAATTTGCCAATGTTTTTGAATCACAATGTTTTTCACTAAAAATTATCCCAATAATAAAATTATTATTATTTTGTTTGCATTTGGATTCAGTTCTCTTTTGTCAATTAAGACAAAATCTAGGAATCTCCTGAATCCATAGACAATTATGGAACATAATCAGCAAGAAAGCTGAAAAAATAGTATAAAATGGCATAGCTGACTAGCTTAGTCAGAAAAAATGGAGAAAAGCTTTCAAAAATGTGAGCCAGGCTTGGGGATGATTTAAATGCAAATAAATCATCTAAGGTGCAACTCGGGTGGCTATATAAGATTGGAAGTTGGAGTGCTGCATATTTCTGTCTTGGTCCCAGTTCTAAGCGGTCCTGGAATACTGTGGAGAAAGTTCAGTTCAAAACTTCCTCCCAGTGTAGCTTCCTGAATTCAGGAAGATGTTTACTGGGGTGAGAGACATGACTCTTTGAGTAAAGTGTGGAGATACGCTCTAATAACACTATTATAGCTCTAGAAAAGCTCTGAGTCACTTTAAAAAATTCTCATTTATTAATAGCAGGTATATATTTGAAATGGTTTAATCATAGCAGTTGTGTGTCATCCGTACAGGCACTGAAATCCAGTTCATTCTGCCTTAGAATAAGTCTTTAGTAATGATGCTTTTAAAATATTAGAAATGCAGTTTGGAGAATGTTCTATAGAGTGACCTCAAACTCTGTAATGGGGGGATTGCAGTAAGAGGGGGCCACGGATCTTATAACCTTGCACCTTGATCTGGGCAAATGTGTACACATGCTACTGCATGTTCGTTCTTCTGGAAGAATAACATCAGAATTGTCATGCTAGCCAGTATGATTCTTGAAACCGTGTTTGTTTCCAAGTCTGTCTTTAGAAGTGAAAAATCTTCTAGACAATTGTTTTAGAGGAAGGTGTTTTTGGACTGTTGTTACACAAAGATTAAAATTAAATTTTAGAGTGCAACTTTTGTGATTTTGTACTTTTCTGAATTTTGTAATGCAATGATCAGCTCAAAAGAAATATAAAAATAAGGATAAGCTATTTTTAGAAGTGTCTGTTTTGTGAGAAAATACATTCAAATATGCATTTAAATATATTTTTATGCATTTCCTGTAATGCTTTTTAAACAACACACAGATAAAAGTAGAAACAGGATGGAATGGACTTAGGAGTGAACTGTCACAGACTGGAAATAGAAATAGACTGATCTGCCCATCCCAAACTAGTACTCATGGTGTGTGTGTATATACAGAATGGAGCAAAAGTACTGATCCCTTTGTACGAACTAAAATCTCTGGAAGAAAAAAGGCAAGCAAGCTCAAGTACTCCTTAAAGGAGCACCAAGGTTGAGGTGGGGGGTGGAGGGAGAATAACTTCTCTTTGGCATTGTCATCCTCTAGTTGAACTGACCTTTTCTTTTTGGTGGTTCCCCCTTTTGACATAAATCTTTATTTTTTAAGGTGATAGATTAAGTAAGTGGCCTACAAAAGGGGTAGCAATTGGAGCAGGGAGCTGGGCCAGGAAAGTTTCTTACTATAGTGATTAGGATATCAGAGATGTTGCCATGCATGGCATACATGCAAGGGAGGAAGCTGAATGGCTGTGGGAGAAACAAGGCATGGCAAGTCACCAAGTGGGTGATCATCTGTTTGGACATAATCTGACAAGCAAGCAACCAACCCGACAAGTGGCTTCTCATCAGCATGGATCACTGTGACATGTGAACCAGTCCACTGTCACCAATATAAATCAGGTTTCAACATTACCTTAATTGGGGTTTAGCAGCTTATCTTCCCTTCTCTCTCTCTCTCTCTCTCTCTCTCTCACACACACACACACACACACACAACCCAAAGCAAAGCATTTGGTTTTGCACAGCAAATGTATTTCTGCATTGTTTCAGGCTGTGAGTCTTCCCTCGATCTGACATTTCAGAAGTCCATGGTTGCAGTGAATGAGATCTTTAAGGCCCTCCGGGATGTTTCGAGAGCTCGGACACACATGAAGCAGTTTACTTCTATACATATCCCTGGAAGCCATATTCAACAGGCAAGTTGATACGTATTTTTCTCATCAGCATTACTGTGTGTTACTCTAGCACATGACCAAAATGACATTTAGCCAATGTGATTGCTTTTATGGATGTTCTAATGCAGAATGAATTCTGCTTCACTGTAAATGTATGTATAATTGCAGGTATGCTGCAGAGGAATTGTTTAATCTGAACTACTTCTGCTGAATGATAGCAACCATAAAGTTGCCATCTATTTAACATTCCTTCTAGAAAAGCCCCACATAGGCAACTGGAAATGTATGGACTGTACATATTAAAGCCATCTGCAAGCCACTAATGTGGCACTCAAGATGACAAATTGTTGGTCTAATCCAACAGAACAGTACTTTAAGCTTGTATAGTCCAGCACTTTGATATCAACAGTGGCCAACCGCTAACCTGTTTAGAAGAAAATAGCATCTTTTTCTCTGATCCCTGCTTAGTGATGGAGTTTACTGGATGCCTTTGGGCTAGTCACTGACTCTCAACCTAACCTTCTTCACAGAGGTGTTGTATGGATAAAATGGAAAAGAGTAAGAGTATCAAAGCCATTTCATATTCCCCATAAGAGAAAAAAGGTGGGATATTAATGTAATATAGTAATAATTATAATACTAACAATTGCATTTATTTCATTTATTTATTCATTTTTATTGCCCTCTCTATCAAAACCTAATAGATACTTCATTTTAATTTCATCCATTTACTGTTTTGACATAGTTTACCATCAAAATATCTTATTTTAAATAAACTTATTTTCCTTTTTCCAATGGAACAATTGTGTTGAAGTTAAGAAGCACCCTGAGACATAATCAAGGATATAACATGCAGTTTGGAATATCCTCCCACAAAAGGAATTTGCAGCTAATGTCTGTTGCTTCTTGGCTTAATGCAAATGTACCATAGGAAATTTTAGATGGCATATCGACATTTTCTTTGTGACTGTATAGAAGACTGTATTTGACATTGCAATCTTCTTGAAATGAAAAAGTGTCAATCTAATGACCATAATTGCTTTAGAAAATCAGTTTTTCCCTCAAGTTATTTATTTATTTATTTATTGGATTTTTATCCCGCATCATTAGCCAAAAGGCTTGCTGAGCAGGAGCGCTTAACTTCTCATTTGCACTTAGCTTTAACTGCTTAAGTTCTTGTTGTCTTTCTTTTTTTGTATTGTAGGTATGTGTCACTTCCATTTAACATTTCCGCAGTATGATTCTTACATGATTTGTCTAAGAAAACTAGAGAGTGACTTTCTTGAAATACAGTAGCAAAAGGATGTCACCTGCCACCAATGGAACACATTAGTTAACTTGATATGCTGCATTGCTTGTCACTGAAAATATGGTACTTCATGCTTATTGCTTTAGGATTATTGTAATTTTACACATGTAGGAAGCTCTGTAGACTGCGTAAGTGCAGACTTTTCACTAAACATTTTCTTCAGAAGTTGTGCCTTGTTTATTTCAAATACAGTGTGACCATATCCTGGGATCTGCTGTACTTCCAGTACAGGTTTACATAAAAGATGTAATGTCCCTTTTGCCGGGCTGTGCTGATAACGTCATGAGCATATATGCCAGCACAGATTTTTTTTTAAAGCATTGGCATACCACTGTGCCAATGTAGAACTTTCCAAAGAAAAGTTTTCAGCTCTTTTAATGCATTTGCATTAATGATTAATTTAGTACACTGAAATATGATCACAAAAGGACATTTAAAAAGCTATTTGAAGCCATCAATAAAACCAAATCATTTTTGTTATTTCTTGCTATTGCTAAAAATATTGCTATTTTTAAAGCTAAAGAATTTATCTTTTTAAAACTTTTAAATATTTTTTCTGATTTCCTGATATTTTGTTGTACTTTTATCATCTGTTTTTATGGACTGTGTAAACTCCCTGGAGTGCTTGAGCTGTGTGGCAGTATAGAAACTGACTAAATAAAATATTTATATTCAGGGTTTTCAGATTAGCACCATTCAAACTGAGAGAAGATGCCACACCTGTGAACACACCATTGCCTGTGAGCACACTTGGCTGCATATTCAGCACATGGAGAAGGCCCTACACAATATGCATGTAGAGCTCTTCTTTTAATGTGTGTGGAGTTGTCTGAACTCCCCTCCCCAATCCTGGCAAATATGACCAGAACAGGATACCAAGGGTATCGGAGGCCACAGGTGGCAGATGAGCCATAGTGATAGCATAGTGAGAGAGGAATGCTGGTCAGGAGGGAGTTGACCCCCATATAATTTGGAAGTGTAAGATCGAGCTCCTCATGCTGAAGAAATGCTCAGTACTGGATCTAAGGACTTAATCTCTGTTGGCTCTACAGCTTTTCATTTCTCACCAGAGGTTGGTTACCCTTGAAGTTAGCATCCTATGCTGAATTATAGTCACTGGCATTACTGCAGTGATATATTGGTCTGTCAGTGGTAGTTCTCTGCATAATATCCACAGGAACCAAGCTGTCTCCAATGTTGCACAAGGCTGGAACCACATGAATTAATTCTCCTGACCAGTTGACTTTTGGCAAAGACAGGCAGGCAAATATAGGCAGAGGGAAGTACTTCTTGGGTCTCTGCTCTTTTTGTGCAGTTTTTTTCCCTGCCTTTAAATTCCATTCACATTCCAATAGCTATTTTCAGAGAAGCTCAACATTTGTACTTTTTGCAGAGCCACCCAATAGGAATGACTTCATTGACAGATTGGACAGACTAATTTAAATCACTAAATAGACAAAGATTGGAAATGTTTCCCAAGCATAAGCAGCAAGCCAAACAGAATGGCTTGGTATGCACATAATGGCCAACAAGCGCTTTGCATCTGGTTTAGAAAGCAACCCAGGGGGAAAAAATGGAATTTTCAATGCTTCTTGATGAAAGGTTCCTAGTACTAGCAAATAAAAGACATTGCTAGTCTGTTTTTCCCTACTTAAGGTTTTTTGTGCTAAAAATACAAATGAAAGAGTCAATGGGAAGACATAGGGGGATTAGGAAAGAAAGGCAATGTTGACTGGACCTCTGTAAAATTTCATGAATGAGACAGGGTGATTTCACTATAAACGCTTATCTGGAAGTGCCAGTTGTGCTCATTGTCATATAAATAGGCTTCCTTGACCTGATCCTGTCAATCAGTGAGCAGGATCAATCAACCATGCTGACTCTCAGCCAATTCTGCTTTGCTAAGTGTTGTTCACTGTGGCATGCAAACCCAGAACACTGGGTTGTTGAGTGGGAACAACCCAAAAATTTAACCTGTTTTCTGTTGCTGTTACATTATACTTCTGGGATGTTTACTTCTTAAAAGCCCAGAGTGTTGTTGACACATCAGTGGGGTATTCCTGGATTGTTTCCTAAACCAGATGCAAAGCAGAAGTACTAAGTGGGTGAGAGGCCACATGCTCCCATATAGCCTCAATAACCTATGGTTTATTTATAACAATCCATGGATTGTTGTTGGTGTGAACCAGATGGATAGCTTGCTTCAAGCTAAGAACACAGTAATCACCATCTACTGTGTACTTCATCTCTCCCCACTCCAACATCTTCCAGCATGTAAGACACTACAGCAAACAAAGCACAATCCACTTCTGTCAGCTGGGTGCTCTTGTCATTTATCTTTTTATTTTTAGTAGTTATTACATTGACTCTTGCAGTGAATTCCACAAGTGCGTTGCACATAATGAAATCACTTACATGCTTACTTCAAGGTGTTCTTTTTTTAGGCCTCTTATAAACCATTACTGAAGCAAGTGGTGGAGGAGATATATAATCCAGATCGACCTGACCCTGTTGATATTGAACATATGTCTTCTGGACTCACAGATCTCCTCAAAACAGGATTCAGCATGTTTATGAAGGTGAATCTGCTATTCAAATGTTCATAAATGTATCTTAACAACATTTTATGCAGACATTTTGGTAAGAAGATTCCAGTTCCTTTTACCTTGCACATTTTTATCCTGTAGCTGAGGCTCTGCATTGTTAGATGATATGAGAAATCCAGGTGACAGTGTGTAACATAGCAATCCTGTTTCATATAGAGAAGTCTCAGTGGTGGGTGAAAGGAGATATGCTGATAGAACAACCTCCATATCCTATGCCCTGCTGTTCCACTGTGAGCTGGGTGGGGAGTGCATTTTTTTTCATTTCCCCCCTCTCATTGACTATGTCAGTAAAATAGGGGTTGTGCTACTGAATTTTTTCCCCTAGAAAAACTCTGCTGGAGCATTATTACACAGTAAGTGTCATTCTACAGTCTATGTCTATTTCTTTCCATGAGCATAGAAAAATCAGAGGAGATGCCTGGGTTTGTTTGGCTCTTTTGCAATTTTGAGAAAAATTGGGAAGAACTCATTCTTTTGTGGATAGATGCATTATGTGCAGTGATGAGCAAATCTATGTTAATTGCAAAACAGTTCTCTAGCAAAGAGTTGGAGGAGGTCCATACAATTTAAAATCCAGGCATGGTAGCCTTTTGTTGATTTTACTGTGGTTTATACCTATGGATGCAAAAGCTAGAGTAAAGAATGAGAGTAAAGAAGAGTCCTCCTGCTTTTGCCCAAACAGTGTGTGTGTGTGTATAAACACTGCTTTCTCTTCTCTACCAAAATGAAGTCCTAGACAAGCATTGTACATATTCCCTTCCATCACATTACATGACCATATCCCTGGCAGTGGAGATCAGCATGTATACATTAGCCCTAAGTGCATGTGGAATAGGGGTTTGGAGAACTGCCTTGCCTGAAGGAATACCCTTGTTTTCCCTCAACAAACTTAAGGAATTGATGGGCATCTCAAGTGTTCTCAGATTATGGGATTGGCCTCCCCAGGTACCCACCATATTTCATGGTGTGACTTGGTGAAATGACTTTGAGGAAAGATGGACCAGCATCACATTCCAAATATTTGTTATGCTGTCCCCATTCATGAGGAAGTACATGCATAAAAAAGAAAGGTAACTCCATTTTTATTTCTGCACAAGTTTCTATTTATTTCCCTTTGCAAACTGAGAAGATAATCTGCTTAGATACTTGATCTGCAGATTATCAGCAATGCATTCATGTTCATAAAGTATATGCTTCACTTGTAATTTAGTGTCTCATATATTTCAATGTCTCCCATGCACCCTGACTTCATAATTTTCCAAAATCCTACTAAGGGAACTATATACTTTACGTTCTTCTGCACTTATTATTTCTTTGTTTTTGAAATGGAAAGCTCTGCCATGATTGGCCTATTTTAGGGTGTAAGCGCTCTGGTATGCTAAATCCAAATTTTTGTGTCTTGGTCCCTCACAATTTTGAGATTTGGTGAAATATTGGAAAGAAAATAGAAATATATGCTGAATGCTAATACTGGCACAGCCCCATAGCCTTCTCTAAAAATGAGGAGTGAAAACATTAGGATAAATGTACGGAGAGTTTGCACACAATCTTGGTTTATTTTGGCCTGTTTTTCTAAAGAAAAGTATTAATAGCCCTTTCCACCTCTATACAACTGGCTTCACTGCATTTCAACTCTACTTCCACTGCTAGGATGGACATGAATTTACTCCCATGGTACTTTCAGCTGAAAGGGAAGTCAGAAGGCATTGTGCAGCTATGCCATCTTTTTCATTAATGGATATTCTGCAGAAAAAAGAAGAAACAGGAGGAAATACTGAAGGATTATGAATGGAAGACAACAATATCTGAATTCCAAAAATTCCATGAACAAGGCAGGGAAATGTCATGATAAAAACCTTTATCATGGAAGCACCCACAATAGGTGTACAGATTGATTCTTCAGATGTACCGCAACTAAATCTTGGCATTCAGACCAGATTCTAAAGAAACAGTAGGAAAACAGAGGTGGGTCACAAACTGAAACCAACATCTAAATACCCTGTCTGATTCTGTGAACAAGAAAGGCCAGTGGCTGGATAAAAACCTCATCTGGCAACACCCAGAGCTGATTGGCAGAATTACCCCATGCACCTTTGCTGATAGGTGGATAATCCACATAAACCTGGGCATGAGTGTCTCTCACCCAGAGTTCTAATTCTGCAGGGATATTTTCAGTTTTAAAGTCAAAGGTGAATCATTGGTCCAATACAAGAATCAAGGTAGCCTCATCCTTCCACTTCCAAGATCCTTACATTTGGTTCCCACTGCTGAAAATAGTCAAAGTCTGAGTAGTTTACTATTTGCCTGCTTCACAGGCCTTAACATTGCCCAGCCAAGTGCCCACCTCCAGATCTGCTGGACTGCAACCACTACCATTCCTTGCCCCCATGGCCAACAGAAGTCTTAAGTGAGAAAGCAAAAGATGGAAACTGGTGGGGGCAAGTGAAGTGCAAAAGAGGATGACATTAGCTTTCTTCACTGTATATTTTTAAACACCTCTTCTAGCAAATACTTGAAGCACTATTCAATTTTTCTAAAGGTTAAAGCTTTTAAAAACAAGCACAGAAGGTAGAGAGCTATGCAATGAAATGAAAACAGTAGTGATGGTGTTAAAATGACAGAATAGCTCTCTTAAAATAGCTTTCCTCTGAAGCAGGGAAAAAATCAAGGATAACAAGCCATTTATTATACATGCAATGAACATATTCCCATGTTTCAGCAAATTGTGACTCAGTTTTCTTAACACCTTGCAATCCTTAGATGTCAGGACACATCTCCTCTGGAACCAGAGCACATTCAGATATACAGGAATATTTCCCACCTTCATAATCAATTGACTTCTTGATTCACCCGAAGGAGTAGAAGGCAGAGGTGGCATTGCTATTCACAGAGATGTCCTGCTGTGTCCTCTATGCTCCTTTTCTCTTTGTTTTCTTTCCTACTTATTCCAGATAATGTAACCATAATTGTTTTATTTGGGACTTTAAAAATGATTTAGGCTGGTGACAGTTCCAGGCTGGGAGACCCGGGAACCATTCTTTTCCATGATGCCAAAAATAATGGAATCAGGAGACACTTCAAAAGTGTGTGGGTGAGGGAGAGACTATTCTGTGAGGACTGTATTAATGCACTCTTTGATGTCTGCTAATTAATTAGAAGGCACCCTGAGAACATACAAGGACAGCCAAATAATTTGTCAGGGAGAATATGAATAAGAGTTTAACTTAGAGTTGCTGCAGAGTTGTTGCACACAGTTCTCAGTTTATTCAGGTATAAGGTATGTTAACAACATTTCTATTTTAATTTTTAAGTCTTGATATCATTGATACTTCACAGGATTAGGAGCTGAGTTTCCAAATGTAGCCGCATTTTAGTTACAAAATTGTAGTGGAAAACAGTTTGCTGTGCCACACATATAGTTTGCCTTTAGTGGGACCTTATCAGAGACTAAGGCTGCATTAGCACCGAAGTGGGTAGCCACCCAGTTACTATATCCTAGACAAATGCTATCCCAAATCTTTCTCACTTCCATTTATGAGATAAGCTTGTTGTGGGATCCTTCCATTCCTTTTACTCTGCTGTCTGTGCCCATTTTCCTTGTTAAATGATGTTCTGCCCTTCTTTTCGAATGGATATATTTTCCTCATCACCACAAACCCAGCTTGGTTAATTAGATTCTCATTCATGAATACTAAAGCTGCATATCTTGTGGAACAAGCTCTGTCCAGAGAAGTAACAAGCAAGCAAATCTTCATGTAACTCCCAAAGGACAGTACAATTTTCACTTTGGCAACCACACTGAGGTGATAAAACAATGCAAGAGACATTAGTGGCACGAAGAATCGATGAAGAAAGACAAATATGTTGTAAACAGTGTAAATCAAACCACACACAATGTAATTAGGAAAACTTGCAGTCATAGACAGTATTCAAGCTCAAATAAATGTATATTGTTCAAGAGTACATGAACAACCTGACTTTGGGAAAGAAATTCTACCTATAAACAATCTTTCATCTTTATATAAAATATCCCCAAGGGATACTATGTAAATCATGTTCTTTAGCACTAACGGAAATTCCATTATTTTGCTCTGCCACATGTTTTGTTGCTTAACTAATTTTCTAGCCGGTCATTCTTCCCCATCCCTTGCCATCTCTGTTTCAGATAATTGGATCTCAAATCCAATTATCTGAAACAGAGGTGAAAACATATGAATTCCCCCCACACAGCCATGCTGGAAGAGAAATGGTGAGATGGCCAGCCCAAACTATAATTTAGTGTCATATTCAAACCAGCCCAATGTCAGCAGATGGAGTTGCTCCTGTAAATTATTCCATAGAGGTTGGAGAAACTGAATTCTCTAAAATTCCTTTTCTTACCCAGTTTAAAGTTACAGAATTAGTTTCCATAAGTAAGTCATGAAATATTAAGGAATTTGCTGCTGTCATTGGGTATGCCAACTAGGGCTGATAGAGAGCCAGTGTGGTGTAGTGGTTAAGAGCATGGGACTGGGACTCAGACAACCTGGGTTCTAGTCCCCGCTCAGCCATGGAGCCAACTGGGTGACTTTGGGCCAGTCACAGACTCTCAGCCCAGCCTACCTCACAGGGTTGTTGTTGTGGGGATAAGATGGAGGAGGAGAATGATGTAAGCTGCCTTGAGCCCTTTGTAGGAAAAAGGCAGGATATCAATAAAAAAAAATTGTAGGTAACTTTGGAAGGCCAAAAGTTTCCACCCCTGTTTTAAAACATCAAACTAGAAAAATGATACAGGTTGCAATCCTGTACACATTTGCATGAGAGAATGGGCAAACATAAATGAGGTTGTGGGTATATTCTCAGTGCTCAGTACTAATGATAAAGATGAGTTTCCAATGGTACGTGCAGCATGGTTGTTGGAAATAGAATTTTGAACTAGGTGGGCCTTGGTCTGATCTAGCAAGGTTGTTTCTATGAAGAAGAAACTCCATAGC